GGAGAAAAAAGTATCTGACACCTCTTCGGAGGCATGACTAATGGGCCATTATGACAGCAATTAAAGAGGAACCACTTGCAGCCTGTAACTGACACTACTACCATGCATTTCTTAGGGTTTCTGCTAATTACATAAAATCTTAGTCTCCACTGAATTTCAATTAAATCAAAGTGGGGCATCAAATGGAAGGAAAAGTTGGTGAAGAATGACTTGCTAAAAATGCACACTGGCTGAACACATAATGTTTTATGGTCAGGGTTTAATATTTCCTATTGGACTCTGACTGATTTATCAGCACTTCTTGGCAGACACACAGCCTTTAAAATCCTTTTCATACCAGCATGCCCAACCAAAGTAGGAGAAAGTCACAAAAAATGTCTCCCATCCCTAATTAAATCTGAAGGATAACTGGATGTTCATTACAAGTAATTATTAGTATCAAGCCCCTTTATAAAACTTTCGAATTTAATTCTAACTTCTTGAGGGTGGAGGCTGTGTCTTGGTGTTCTTCTTAGCTCAGAGATTAGCACAGAACCCGAGACACAGCAGCTGCTTAAGGAATGCTTCCTAAATAAATAAATGAATAAATGGATTTGAGATCTTGGAGGACAATGGATGAAACAAGTCATGTCTGCTTCTACCAAACCAGTTAGGGGAAGCAAAATAACAAATTATCCCTGTGCATAATTAAGTTTGAAAACTTAATTTTTTTCTCTATAGAAAAAAACAACGAGCATATAAAACAGAAACACAGGCTTTAAAGACAGAAAAGATGCACTCTAGCCCTGTACCATTTTGAATATGGAAAAAATTGAAAGAGAGAGACATATATTACTGCAAGTACTCAATCCAGAGACTTAATACTCACACAGTTCCCATTACATCTACAAGCTTAGATACAATGTTTGACAATACATTGCAGAACTATGAAAATGCTCAATAATTTTGTTCTTTTTGTTCTCATATTCACCATCAACTGGGTTAAATCTAATGAGCAGCTCATTGAGGCTATGATTTGAAGTTTTTAACATATCTAATGTTTGTCAACTGTGTTTTAACTGGATTAACTTTATAAGACTTTTATTTTTGTTAAATAATAGGGGCATTTTGCAATAACACATTTAAATGATTGTCAGACACTGTTATTCATACAACAATATGTAAGCTGCCACAACAGAGCTGCTGGTTGGCAGGAAGCACCACTCTGTGAAATCTATATGTAAATGCAGAAATATTCAGGTCATCCAAAAGTGGAAATGTTGAAAGTTGAAGCTTCCTTTAACTGCTAAGATCCCACTGAAATATAGAGACTGTGGAATATCACCTTGAAATTCTCAGACCTTGGTCTCAGCACAGTTTTCCTCAGAGTAGAGAAAACGTGAACCAGGGATCATCGTGCATGGTTCTTGGCGTAAAAAAGCAATATCTAGAAACTCAGTCTTATTGCCTTTAGGTGAGTGCCAGTATTATTGTAAGCAATAAAAGTATAATAACGTGGCTCAAAAATAAGTGGAAAAAATCAAAATGTGAAAAGTTGAAGGGAATTCCCCAGCAGCTACTGAATGGAACAAATGGATCTGAGGTTTAAAATTCTTAGGGTTCATTCTCACATCAAGCATGATAAAAAGTCTTTGAAAAGATCATAAATACTTCTCAGAAGAGAAATGGACAGAACTAAGACGTTACAAGGGCTTTCCACAATTGATCTACAATACCAATGTCTTTTTATTTACTGTAATCTTAGTATTCTTCTTCTCTTTCCTTTATACTATTGAGCATTTACTGAGTAACTATTCATGTGTCGGTAGGGAGCATGCTAGAGGAGAGGGATTCTAAAGAGGTAAAGCAATCCACCTTCTAAAGGAGGAGCAGGTAAATATGTAAATGCTTACAATGCAAATACAAAGAGGTAGGAGCTTCCAGGGACATTCGCAAGTGTATCAAAAGAATACTTCTTAATCCTGAACTTCCTTGTGTGGGAAGAACTCAAAAATAATGGTGAAACAATGCCTCTGCATATTTCTCATTAATCTATATGCAAAATTCTATGATCTGGTCAGCATAATAACATTATTCACTAGTGACACAAGTGTGAATTAATTTGATTATTTCAACCTTCTGACTACTTTTGAATTTATCATTTTTGTTACTACTTAGTAAGCTACTTTCTACCAATATTACTAATCTCTCATACACCTTCTCCTAAAATTTTACTCAGACTGTTTTTAGTACTTGAAAATTTATGGACTTCCTCAATTCCTAAAAGTAAAACTGAGAAGTACTTCAAAGTTAAAAATAAAAAAAGAAACAGCAAATGGTAACAATTTACAAATATGACTGGACATATCTTCATACAAGGCCATTAGATCAATATGAAAAATCATGAAGTGAATGGAGGAACTGATTAGCTACCAGTAAGAGGAACCACATCATTTGGAGAATGCACAATAAAATACAGAAAAGTTGTGATGGTGTAAAGGGCAAAGAATTAATAATATAGTCATGATAACCAGGAAACAGTCCCGTGTCTTTTGCACATAACATACCTATTGTAAATATTTCATAAACTCACTAAAAATATATATATAGTATTGGCCCTGAAACTTTAAAAGATAAATTTCTTTCAAGAAGTTTACAGAAAGTAAAAGAAATAAAATCTTTTTGTTTGTTTTATATTAGCCCATTCTCTTTTACTCACCCTGAGCCACAAGGTAAACAGATATTTTGTACACCTTAAACAATAATCTTTACTAATCAAAGGTTTCTGCCAAACTAATGGGAGTTTCTGACTCTTAACCCACTTAACTTCCAATTACTAGGCAAATTGAAGATGCCAACTCCTGCAATACGTACGTGTGTACGTGTGTGCGCGCATATGCGGTCCAAGACTGGGGCCCCAAGAGAAGAGGCTGTGATACACAGGCCATGCCTGAAGGCAGAGAGGCCTGAGAGTTTGTGCCAGCCTAACATTCTGGTTTTCTTCCAGGAGAAATGCAAAGCTTTCGTTTTCTTGGTACCTGTGAGGACCAGCCTACCACTCGGAAGGCCACGTCAATCCAAAGGGTTGACAAACACAAGTAGCCTCTTTGGCAGTTTACTACTTGCCCTGAAATGCTGAATGGGTATCAGGTGAAGCGAATCACCCTAAAGCAGTCCCATTCCAGTCAGCCAGGCACTGAGTCCACACCATCTCTATAATAGTTCCTACTGATACCCTTGAAAGACACTTGCAAACAGTTTTGTCATCTACCAGTGGAACTAAATTTATTGTAAGTTATTTATAGAAAGACATTGCTAAGTCTGCAGAACTATGATTGTTAACATGATGAAAATAGCAATCAAGTGCCCTGTGTGTTGAGAACGAGCTTGCCAGTGCCATATTGACGTCCCTCTTCCTCCAGCTTCTCCCTGTACGATACAAAATCCCAATGCCATGAGGGATAAAGGGAAATTAGAGCAGCACATCAAGGAAAAGATAAAGCAAAATATAAAACAAATGCATCTTGAAAGAGGGAAGTGCAGCGATGCTGAACAATTTTTACTGAGGTAGCAAAGACGTCTGGGAGTTCAGAAATGGCATTGAAAATGTAAATCAATCGTAATTCAATTCCTAGTTCCTCCTCATTTTCTTCACCCATTTTTTAAATCTCTCCAAAGGAAGAAGGGGGCCCTTTTAATACGATTGTGAAAATGTGAAAATCATTATATTTTATTACCAAATAATGGGCTCAGCAGGCATCAACACTCCTCTGAGTCTGCAGCCCCTTCCTAACCCTCTAAGGCCATCCTTCCTCAGGCAATGCAGAGGTTCTGGGACGGAGTGAAGACAAGGACTGAGAGGGCACAGGAATAGGGTACGGATGTCAATCACATATTCAGTGGCAAAATTTTGTGTGTGTGTGTGAGAAAGACTGGCTCTAAGCTAACATTCATTACCAATCTTCCTCTTTTTGCTTAAGGAAGGTTGTCGCTGAGCTAACATCTATGCCAATCTTCCTCTCTTTTATATGGGATGCTGCCACAGTTTGGCTTAACGAGTGGTGCTAGCTCAGTGCCGGGGATCTGAACCTGCAAACCCCAGGCCACCGAAGCGGAGTAGGCAAACTCAACCACTACACCACCAGGCCGGCCCCTGCAAATTTTTTTAAAAGCCTTGAAATTTTTGCTTTCTAAATCCCATCAATAACATTGACTTCAATACTGACTGTGTTAAACAGCAGTTAAAAAAATGGCTTGATCAAAATATTCTATGAATCCTCCAAATAGTCAAAACCGGAAATCTGTCCAAAGATCCATTTAAAATCCCCAAACTTTATTACAGATAAAGAAATATAAGAAAGTCCTTGGGGAAACCAGTCATTCCCCAGGTCTTACTCTAAAACATCAAATCAATTTCTATTTATTGAATGTCTGCCTACAGAGAGGAAGGCAGTTTGTCTTAAGAGTCTGTTTCGGTAAATTTGAAAATTCAATGCCTGTTTCCATGGGCACCATAAATATTTGGGAGACTTTTCCTGTTTGATTCTCCTCCTTTAGCCTGACAGAGGAACTGGAGACATCTGTGAGACAGGAGCCACACCTCCTCAAGAGGAGGAGCGGGTGAAACACTCACACAGGATTTATCTACTGGGTTGACTGCTTCAGAATCTGACCTACTATAAATAGAATCTGACCTACAATTAACAATATAAATACGGTTAGCTGGTAATACTGATAAGTGACATTCTGAAATCAATAGTTACAGAGGTGGAACTACTTATGACTAATATCATAAAATTAAGTTATCCTCGCAAAAGAAACAAAATATAAAACACAGCAAAAGAAATCAAATTATATAAATAAATGAAACTCAAACACATGAGATTTTTGTAACAACCATTCAAAACAAAGCACTTAGCAGTATTATTGCCTGACTAATTAAGCTGAAGAAAACTGAGAGAGAAACATTAGCAGAGAATATAAGGAAGAAACCAATGTCCCCACTGAACCCGCGGTCAGACCTGCCACGCTGTCAGGCACGAAGTGCACATCAGATGGCCGCAAGGCTCGATCTTGACGTCTTTGTCGTTCTCGGCACAGATTTTACAGAGCTGAAAAGTGGAGCCCATTTCACAATACAATTCATATTGCTCCTGTAATTTGGGGGGAAAGAAAGGCAATGTTAATTATTTTTCTAGCAGGAATTGTTAACATTGAATTTTCTCAAGTACAATCACTTACAATAAATTCCTCACACTTGATCCTGTCAAGATTATGTCACCATTTAAGACATGTTTTAAGCTGATGATTACAATTTGGTCTACAAAATCAGTTTTTAAAAGTTTTGAGCTTTTATCAGCAATTGTATAGACTTCAGATTATTGAACGTCTCATCCCGTTCCTTTCGGAAAGAACTTGCTTCAATAACAGTGATTCAAAAGATAAAACTTATGGTTTTAAAAGGTAACATAAATAACTTTATTTTCTTTGTAAATGCTACATGATCATCTAATTTTACTGTCAAATTGCAAATATATCTGTATGATTCCGGCTGAACATTAAATTTTATGTCTTAGATAACTTCAGAACTTCTAGAATGGAAGAAAAGCAGCACGTCCCAAGTCCTTCCTGTGTGCTGGGGACCGTGGGTCACACTTAGGATGTTATGGGACGCCTCAAGCGTAATGACACTTATTGAATTAAAAGAATACCTGAGGCTCAGTAAGTTTAAATTGTTTTCCTCAAATTCTACATCAAACCTCTAACTCTAAATTGCATACTCCTCCCCCAATCTAACGCTGTCAAGAAAACTAATCACTTCAGCAACCCAAAAACTGTTTTATTAAACAGCTATTCTCTGGATTTACTAGTTTAGAACCTTCTGGCATAGTAAAATTCTCAGTGTTCAGATACTGAAAAGATCTATGTCACAAAGAATATAAAAATATATTGGTAAATGTCAAGAAAATAAGAAAAAAAGGGTTACTTAACAGGGATACAAAGAAAAAGAGTTACAGAAATAAAAATCTGTTTAAATAAAGCAATGTTTTAGTCTAGTAAGTGCCTACTATGTACCTGGTCCTGGGTAGGATGAAAAAACGAAAATTTTAATCTCTAACCTACTAAAAGATTTTACAATCTTGGTGGGAAAAATACATATACACATATACACACATAGATACACACACATGCACATACACACATTCGTACAGAAACTGTCTATCCTCATGTATGTAAAGGTGACTATATAAACAATTTTTAAAGAAATTAAGGAAAAAGATAAGAGAGAATGGATCAAGATGGAAAAGAAATAAATCTAAATAAATCTAAAGTTATCTAAAGTAAATTATAAATTACTGAAGTCCCTGAAATAATAGATAAGTATTTACATTGGCTATGACACCCAAAGGACCAATTTGCAATTATAAAAAAATTACAATAAGCTACAATCGCAGATGCAGAACTCACTGCAACCTAAAGAGTAAGCTATTCACATCTATATGAGTAATGTAAGGGAATGCCACCACTCCTGCGTATTGTTAAACAATCGCCTTACAAACAGGAATTCTGTCTTGTGAGCGTTCTTTAACATGTATTAGAAAATACAGAATCACTACAAAATTTAGGGAATGGCAATCATATATTAAATTTAAAAAACCACCCACAAACTGCACTGTGTCAACAACTGTGTTTCACAAAATATAAAGAGCACTGGGACTGAAATCTGGAGTATTGAAAATAAAATCAAAAGTTATCTATTGTCTTCCCCAAAACCTGCAATTCCTGGTTTTCACTATTTATTATACAAAGCAGAAAAATACCTAAATTACAAAATATTTTGAAACTGGGTTATACGTAGAATAAAATATACAAGGTCTCCCTCTGACTTCTCCCTGATTTCCCACAACTTCTCACTTCCTCAGTTAAACACTGTTACCAGTTTGGTTTTTAATCTTTATTTTTAAAAAGTAGTTTCATATGTTCATATATGGTTATTTCTTATGTATGCATTTATTTACAGAAATTGAACTTACATAATGTAACTTTACAAAATGAAATGTTACACAACTGAGCTTTACATAAATGGAATTTTTTTACATAACAAGACGCAGAAGTTCTCACAGAGTATGTATATCTACTTCCTCCTGTTTTTGACTTTATTGTATAAGACAATAGGAGTGCCTTATGGTTTACTTAATCTATGATTGAGTATTTTGGTATGCAATTTTTCATTTTTATGAAAAATGATATAAATGGAAGCTAGAGTCAAAAGATATTTTTGTTTAGATTTTGATAATTACTGAGTATCACCCTCAAGAAAGGCTTCACTAAGCTACACTCCCACTCATAATCTGTGAGGGTGCCAACCAGGCATTTATAAGAATATAATTATTATCTTCAATTACTCATCCAACTCTAAAAGCTAATGCATATAATTACTCTGATTTTCTTTGGATTTTTCTAATCCTACGGCTCTCTCCTCATACTACCTACCTACCAATGGATTTATCTATCTCCCCACATAAAGCCAAGATTGTATTGGAAACAAAAATATTAATAGCAGAAATTTTTATCCAAAAAATGGAGAAGTAATATAATTTCTTTTTAAACACCCTTAGAATTCCTTAAGTGTCTTTTGCATTAAATACCTATAGATGATTTTAGCTATAGTATGAGACATTTATTTGAAAGGCATTATAGATACTTATCAATTACAAATACATTTTCAGAAATTGTCCTTACCTGTGTAACTTTTATATGATCATGGGGTGTAGGTTCACACAATCCAGTTAAATCAGGATTATAACTCCTCCCATCAGGATAAAGATAGCTGCATTATAAACAGAAATCTTATTACCATAAAAATACAAGCTTTAATTGCATTTAAGTTTACTTAATTGAATTCTTCTATACTCAAACACACATTTTGATGTTTCCTTTTTATGTAACTTATATCAAGAACCTGTCCTATGACTGTTTCCATAATGTTACAAGTTATTTTTAGGTCATTTAAAATCTAGAAATCATTTTCATATAAGAAATATACAATGAATATGGACTCGGCCACTCAGCAACCATTTTCAATTAAACACCTTTACTGCATGTCCTTCACGTAACTTAAACAATTTATTTTTCTGGACACTCATGTTCTATTCCAAAATACTTTGAATATACACCTATTTGCAATTACTAGGTCTTTTACCTAAAGCATGGTTAATGTTAACTGTATCATTTTACACCATGCTTAATACCCCAAGGAGAGAAACATGGAATTAAAGCCCACAAGTTTCCCATATGGCTTGATGAGCAGTGTGTAGGTCCCTTGTGCAGGATCCGAACCAGCGAACCCCAGGCTGCTGAAGTTGAGCATGTGAACTTAACCACTCGGCCATGGGGCCGGCCCCGCCCATCCTCGTCCCTTCTGTCTCACCTTCCACTCATCCCAACACATACTCGTGTGCACATACACACAAGTTCAAAGAAATTAGAAAATGTTTCAATTTTATATTTCATTTACTTCAAATAAAGCTCCAAAGACAGAATGGTTTACAAACATAAGGTTTCATTATTAGGCTTAAAATAAGAACTAAAAGTTACAGTAATAATGCCTTCTTCTGTGCTAAAACAGTTTTTACGAATGCAGAAATTCATTAAAAACTGGTTTATTGTGTTGGTAAATACCTATCGTAGATTAAAAAATGGTAATATTACTGCTGGATTTCATCATTTCATTAAATCAGTTAATTTTAATATCTTTCTGTTCTAGATGGCTTGAATGAAAAATTAAGAATGTAATAGTACAGTGGTGAATATTTTAAAGGGCAAAACTATACCAAAACTATTCTGTGAAGTAAAAGATATTTAGCCTATAAATATATTAATAAGTGTTAAAATTTACCCAGGAAAACCAGAAAAAATGAACGTAGAGGACAGACAATTCTTATATGGTAAGGAACACATCAGTGAGATCATTTATTTTTAAGATTTAGGAAAAAGAGTTGACTACACCTGAATATGACACAAACGTAGAGTGTCATTATGGGGGTGAGATAAAACTCTACAAATATTAAATGAGGAGTGGTAAGCAAAAGTTGACAACTTTCTTTTCATATGCTCAAATGGCCAATTTTTAAAACTATTATATAACACTTTTTTCATCACACTTCAAAAACATGTAGAATTGTAGGAAGAATTCAGAAATGAAAGATTACAAATGTGATAACAAGGTTGCTGGAGGAAAGGTTAAAACGTTCTCTCCATGTAATGTCTAAGGGGCATTTCAATGATTCTCACCCTCAGTAAACTAGGGAACTTCTAGGCAGCCCCTTCCAACTGCAGTGAAGGAAGGAAGAACCCTGGCTGGTTATCAAAGGGAACTTCTTCACCACCTACTGGATTAACGATCAAGGAAGAACAGCCGATCCTGATCAGGACCAGATGATATCCCTTCCGTTTTTACTGATCTTTAAGGGGGGAAAAAAAAAACCCCAACCATCTGATTAATATAATGATATTTCAATCTAATCTAAAATCTGGTCTATTTAAAAATCAGGTCAAAATTTTAACCTAAATCTATTTTAATGTAATCTATCACTAAAGTTCAAATTCAACTCACCAAACCCCTCTGAAGATGTGTGTGTGCAAATATTAGCAGCTAATTTGTGTAGTTGAGAGGCTAGACTACTGATTAGAAATTATAATTTGTCATTTTTTGATTGACTTTTGAAAAACAGATGGGAGGTATTATAACAATCAGCTATATCAAATTACTCCATTTACAGATTTGCCTACTCCTAACCTCTATTTATAAATTAAAACTTCAAAGCACATTTTCTTATAAACAAAACTCCTGCCTAGTAAATCAAAAGCTACACATATGAATCTTTGATGTACTAGAGATAAGGTATAAATAACTGAGAATAGCAAATTTATGATAATTAAAAGAAAAATAAATACACACTTGATACCACAGTTTGCCATACAATTCTTATATAACTATTTCTTGAAAGCTCACAACTTTAAAAAATGCATTCTTTTTCTTCACATAGATCCTATCACTTTTTTTCCTCAGTGTCTTTGCAATTACTTTTGAAAGGGTAAAACTTCAATCATTTGCCTTTTGCTAATTCTGGTGGACATTCTCCTGCTAGGTTTCTATCACAATCCATGCTGTGGCAAGTTTGATCACATCTGTCTCCAAGTTACTCAGCAAGGCAAAGGGCAATAAAAGCCAGTGTGACAAAGTGACACTGAAAATACAACAAAAGCATGAAGGGAATGGCATGTGACTAAAATGAATGAGATGTTTATTATGAGGGGGCCTAGCACATTGTCTAAGCTTTGGAGAAAAATCATTATTAGCCTATAAAACAAAGGAGAACTTATTTATTTTTAAATTTTATTTTATTTTTTGTTTTGTCTTGTTTTTTTGTTTTTGAGGAAGATGAGCCCTGAGCTAACAACTGCCAATCCTCCTCTTTTTGCTAAGGAAGACTGGCCCTGAGCTAACATCCATGCCCATCTTCCTCTACTTTATATGTGGGATGCCTACCACAGCATGGCGTTTGCCAAGTGGTGCCATGTCCGCACGTGGGATCTGAATCGGTGAACCCCACGCCGCTGAGAAACGGAACGTGCTAACTTAACCGCTGCACCACCGGGCTAGCCCCGTATTTTTAAATTTTAAAAAAGAACCGCTTAAGATAAATTGAATTTAGTTATTAACATAATTCAGGAACACAAATTTATTATTGTATGAATAAAAGAAGGGAGGTACAAAGAAAAAAAGGGAGAGAAAGGGTGAGAAAAAAGAAAATCTGGCCTACTGGATGAAATAAAAAGTCAAAATAGCTATTTGAGGGTGACAAGAGACAAAGAGAACAATTATTTTTAAAGAATTATCTCTTAATATATATATTTTTACATTTATTTTAAAACTACTTTTAAGTTCCAACTTCTTCGACTATGAAAGATATAAACTCATAATTTGATGTTGGAATTTATTTGCTTTAACATATAGTTAAATTCAAATAAGTACGTTACCTTAAAATGACTATTTTAAGAGATGAACAATACAAACTAAGAAGCATCCATTTCTCAGTCTTGAAACGAAAACCAGCAGCCACATCCTCAGCCTCACTATCCACTGCCCGCCTCTCAGAGCGGTCTCTGGTTTTCAAACCTGTGACTACAAGCACCCGACTCCCACTTCTCATACTCACAATCCTTCCCTGCTGCCATCAATCAGGGCTTGGAATAAGGGCTTGTTATGAGGGATGGTCTGCAAGATATTGCCATCCCCCGTCACATAGCCGATGGCCCACTGTCCCAGTCGAGTGCAGCTTAACCGGAAAATGTAGCTGTAAAACACAAGAGAATTACATTTAACCTCATTCAAAACGTAAGGTAACTGCTAAACAATTTGTTGGGTTTTTTAAGCAAAAACAAACAGAATCATTTAGAATTCCTGATGTAAATTTCTATCTTCTAACTCATTTTAACACCACTGTACTTCTCCATTTATTGATCTATAAAAGAAACACTAATAATTTCATTTAAATATCTCCAGAGTTATATGAGGAAATAACTTAAGTTGTACACTATCAAGTGATTTACTACCATCACCATCAGAGGGTGCTCTGTATGAAAGTGCTGGTGGTATGAAACAGCTATGACATACATCATTTTTGGAAAGTAAAAATAAAACAAGTAAAAATTTAATTTGTCCACTTCAGACAGAAATTGAGTCAGTTTCTACTGTGGAATTCAATATATTATTCTGTCATTTAAAAACTATGCATTTTTAGTTGTTAATAACTTGTTCAAAAATAATACTTTTTCTTTCAAGCATTCCAGCCATTCATCTTTAAATAAAAACTCAAAAGGGCTGAACTATACTAACGAGAAGGCAAACGAGATAAGTTCATGGCTGCCATCTAACTCTGTCAAGTTCAATGTCTTGCAATAAGAAGTCAAAATAGTTCAAAAATATAAATCAAATTAACAACAATTCTGTTAAAATTAATCCCCAATGACAGGAGACATTGACTTGGCTTTAAATTCATCAGTATCATTTATATACTAATTTAGCTATTTATTTCATTTTAGATCATTTCTATTTATTTAAATGTATTGCATTCCATCTTGCCATCATGATATCTATAACTAGATTTTATAACCCCTTAAGCAGACCAAAGCAGGTAAACTTAATTTGTTGGCTATATGTTTGAATACCCTGGCTGCTATATGTATGTGGCGGACATAAGTGTTTCTTAATCTACATTAGTTACTGATGAACCAAGTACTGTAAAAGTAACTTTACAAAATAAGTTAGCACAAAAAAACAGTTACCGACTTATTGGATTTAATTAACTTGTATATTTAGTCCTGCAACATGATTTCATCGAGGAAAATCGAAGATTTTTAAAGAAAGGAAGAAGTTGTGATTTTTTAAATACTAAGAACTTCATATTGGTTACAAAACCCTTGGAAAGGACTTTTCAAGAAAGGTTAAAACATTCTCTTAGAGAGTCTGAAAACAGAATATCAATTATTGGCATCTTTAATCAAATAAAATAATTCCACACAGACTTATGGCTGTCAGCTGGATCCAAAGGAGAAAACAGCCTGAGGAACCCACATGTCCCTGGAATAGACCCAATTATTTCTTTACCATAATGCCAAAGAGATGAAACACATTCCAAGAGAAAGGACCAGTTAAGCACAGATATTCTGCAAAGCAAATATTTATCCAAGTAACTTGATTTTTTCACTAAGAGAGTTTTCCTGGATACATTGTAAACACTCCATCACATTTTACATATTATAATTTACCATAGACTAATCATTTCATCTTTAATTACCTAAAACTTAGAATAAATTATTACAGGGGAAGTTGGGAAGAAAAGGAAGATATCCTCTCACAGGGCGCTATCCTTTTATTGAGAGCCTATTCCAATAGTAGTAAGAGCTGGCTTTTGCTTCCAACACTGTCATTAATTATCTCCATGATCTTGAACAAGAGAACACAAAAGGGACTCCATTTCCTTATTATATTTATAGAATTGGACAAGATAATTTCTGAAATAACTTTTGCATTAAATTCATATGATTGAATGATTCCAACCATATCACATCTTTCAAATCATACTCCAAGAACAAGAAGATACTCTGATGCCAATCTAGAGACTAAAAACTATGGAAAAATCTGGTTATGAGAGATCCTTGAATGAAACAAAATGACTCATCTAAGCTACTGTCAAGGTGCAAAATATCTGACCTGCTCTCATGGTCACAATGACAACCAACTCTCCTTAATCTAAAGAGAGGACTTCAACAGGAGTCAAATTATTTTCTGTACCCAATACCTTTTAATATACCATATGAACTCTTAAAAATAAAAAAGGTAGAAATTCTCATTATGGGATAGAAGAAAGGAGTCAACAACATTGGCAGATTTGCCATTAATAAGGTATGATTTCTTGGCAGAAGCCAGAGGGGCTGACCAAACAGCTAACCTCTGTGAATCCCACTCAGTTTCATCATCTGGAAAATAAAATATAAACTCTGAGGATTCAAAAGCGTGCAGTATTATGGAATAAATTTTCACATACATGACATAGGTTTGCATTCTAATAATAGGCTTATACAGGTTTATGTACTTACATGTGTTTATCATGTATGTATATGCATACTTATGCAATTATGCGTTTATATGTATTAAATGTACTTATGTGTTTTATCATAGAGCCAAGTCGAGCGTCTTGAAAAATACTCTAAAATAATGAACATGAAACTGATTTATTTCGTGTTTAGCACAATAATCAAGTACTAAAATATACACATACAATTTTATACACAAACAACGCACCATGAAAACAGTTGATATGCTAATATCCTACTCCAATTTGAAAATCAGAACTCTGAGACTTAATGAATCTTTAAGCTCATCAAACTACACAGTACCATATCCTTTCACTTTATGAACACTCGGTTTCAGAACATGCACAAAGTATCCACTTACAAGATTCAATTAAGAAGCATGGTTCTGGTCTATTAGCATTTGCCTCCCCCACCCCCATGAGTGCTACTGATTGACTTAAGAATGAACCACAGAGGATTTTTCATCTTTACATATATCACATAGTATTACTGCTAAAAAGTCTTACCTTCCAGGTTTGGTGCTGTATTTCTGTAGTCGTGCTTTAACTTCATCATATGTGAGAAATGCCATGTAACCCGGATGCGTTACAGCTAAGAAATTCCAATTCCGTAAAATAGAGCCCCAAGGCTAAAAATATAAATAAATTAAATGATATTATCTAGAGAATATCAGCTATCAATTGTATAGCAATCCATCATTTAATACACTTCTTGAAATTCTCTTGGGTATTTTTACAGTGAATGTGAGCCTGTATGCTTTAGGTCGACCTTTGTTATCTAACAGCAGACATGCAACAACTTATTCCCTTTTTGGAGAAATATGATTAGGCAGAAAACAGATTTCTTAGGAATAGAATACAGAGGGCAAAAAGGAAAACCACATAATCTCTTCTCTACAAATTCTATTCCCAAAGCAGCACTCAAGATCATTGTGAAACACAAACCACATCACTGCAAAATCCTCTAACATTCAGTAAAAGCCAAAGTCCTTACAAATGGCCTAGAGGACCTTCCAGGGTTGATGCTCAGGTCCCTTTCCATCCCCATCTGCTGTGACTCTCCCCCTTTCTGTCTCTTCTCTGGGTGCACTGCCCTCTCTGCTGTTGGCTTGAGAACAGTTGTGTTGTCTCATCTCAGAGCCTTGGCATTCCTCCACCAGAATTCTCTTTCCCCAAACATCCATGTGATTCCTCTCTCCAAATGTCACTTCCTCAGCGAGGCCTTCTCAGATCACCCAATTTAAGACTGTTACCTCTCACCCTGTTCCTTATCTCCCTGTGTGTCTGACTGGTCACTACTGTACCTTCAGACATCTCATTTTATAGAACAAGAAACCATATCGCAAAATGTAAGTGATTTGGCAAAGATTGCACATCAACCATAAGCTACAAGAGAGCAAGAACATGCCTGTCTTGGTTACCAAAGGGATGCCAACACCGATGCACTGTGCCAAAAACAGTGATCAGGCAGGGACAACTGTTGTTGAACAGTTCCTCTAATTAGCGACTTGTCCAAAAGGCCTCGACTCCCAGCATAGTGGTCTTTCCATGGTAACATACGACTATGCTCCCATTTGGTTAATTCTTGCACAGTTATAAAATTAGAAAAAGCTGATGGTTTAGAAGTGAGTTATGCAAAAATCTTTTACAGAAATACACACACACGGTTTGTATCATTTTCTCTTCAATGTGATTAGTTGTCCCTCCAATTACCATGGCTGGAGAAGAAAGGCAGTCAGTGACAGACAGCTTTGCTTGAGGACATGAAAGAATCATCTCTGCCATGTTTTTAAGGCTGAAGCTACATTTATTCCAAGGAATTGGCAGGATACTCTATCTGATGTGCCAGATTATGAACTCAAATCTTCTACATAAAAGAAAAAAAAGGGTACTTTATTTTGCCAAGTGAAAGTTGTTGAAAGAGTCCTCCTAGACATGATTATTGGTAGAGGGCTCCTGCTTTTGTTTATTTTGAGACTTGGTCTTCATCATTGTAAAGTAAGTTTCAAATTTACAAGGCAAATTCTTCAAAGATTATATCCCTTGAGATGAGGATAACAAGGGAAAGAACGATTTAGTAATGGAGAGTTTTTTAACCTTTTCTGACATAACAAGAAAAATCTTCAGGGTATTTCCCCATCACACTAAAATAACTAATTGGGCAAAAAGGAGCTCTGGAGAACATTATTATGAGAGGTTCTGTCCATGCACTTGAAAAAAAATACATGTTTTTAATTTTCTTCTTAAGGCATGACTAAAAATTGCATAAACAATACTTGGAAGAGTATCAGCATATGTTTTAAAAAAACTGAGAAATAACTGAGCTATTACAGGCACTGGGTTTTGACTTGTTTTGTTCTGCTTCATTTACAAAGGACAAGGATGGAAAGAACATAAAATATTCGAGTGACTTCCATTAAGCTTACACAAATTAATGGAAGAGCTGTTAAAAAAAAATGCTGACCTTTATAGGGAGCCAATGCACAGACCAAAATGCAAGTGAAGAAGAGATGAAATCAGAGTTTTGAGTCAACTGCTACGGTACTCATCAACCATTTCTTAGCATATAATCCAGAGGGCCAGCTTGTCAGTGCAAAAATATTTATGTAACAGAAAGAGTCCATGTACTGTTTTTCTTGTGAATGCAACCCACAGTCAGAAACACGTGGTAGTTATGTGTTTTTTTGTTTTGGGGTTTTTTTAAAAAGTATTTTGCCCCACTAATGACTTAAAGAAGGCAAAACAAAGTGCTTTGGAGAGTAAGAATTATTTTTGCCATTAGTTCTTAGAGTAAAGGAAATCTTTTCACACACAACAACACAAAATTATTTGAAGGTTCTTAAATGACCACAGAAATCAATGAAGTGAATTAAGGACAGTAGTCCCTCCATTCTCCTGAAATGTGATTATTTTCAACAAGAGCCATTTACTGACTTACAACTTATGCCAGAAGTGGGGCCTCACTGGTCTGCCCAGATACTCCCTCTTGTTCTTTGCCGCAATGGCTGAGTTTCCTCCTCTTCTTTTTCTCCCTATTCCATTGATGCTATATACTCCGTACTCACTATTATATTCCCCCACATCACTCATTCCTTATCAGGCCACCCCTCAAATTTACTGCTCCATTTCTCAACAACTCAGTCTTCTCTAGTAGTGGGGAAAATGGAAAAAAGGAGCAACAGCCCCAGGGAGAGGGAAGCAAAGTCCTGTGTTCCCATTCCAGGACTTCAGCACCTGCCAATCCCAGCATCTCTGAACTACCTGGAGAGGAGAAAGAGAGGGTTAAAGGCAAAAGAAAGAAGAGGAAATGAGGAAGGTAGCCATTGCAAGATCTTTCCAATGACTCCCAGGCATTTGATCCAGTTCTGGCAGAACACCAGGATGAGAGAAGAGAGGAAGAAAGGGTAACTAACATCCAGTTTTCTTACTTCCTTTGCTTCCTAAGCAATTCTCCACTTTATCTCCTAGCCCCTGCTGACACCTTCCTTCAAACCCTCATGCTAGCTCTCTATGTCAAACTCCAATCCTGAGGGTGTACCTGCCCACCTTCAGATCCTACTCTGCTAAAACACCCCACTCCCAACAATTGGGAGCTGCATGGATTCACTGCCAATCAACGACCAATATCACGGCTGCAGCAAAATACATGTTCACGCAGTTATAGTCTTCGCAGACTTACATTTCTCATACAGAAGACATCATTACAACTTAGGAAAACTATTACTCAATTATTAAAGTTACATAAAAATAAAAGACCAGTAAAAGTTAATATATCTGTTTTTCTATGCATAGAACCAATTTTACCATATTCTAAATCACAGGTATGATTATAGTCAAAGTATTTGAATAATGAACTAAAAGTAGTGAAGAATCTCCGAAATATATATGGGCTAATGAGGGTTCTTTAGCTACTTCTGCAATGTGTTTCAAAAGAGACTAGGTGTTCTTTGGTCCACAGGTAAGATTTACTTTTCACAGGAGCTCTACTGAAAAGATTCTTTTCCTCTTCCATCCCAGTGAGCATAAATAAAATACACAGACCTTACGGTGTTAAGATCACTTGGGCTGTTTCAAAGTGAAACAGCTTATAGGAAAATGTGTGCACATATTAAGTAGCAGTTTGGGTAAGCGTTTAACCAACATTAAGTTGCCCTCATATCTTTAATAGATAACTCTAAGCGTTCCAGCATTTAACAAAAAATAGCTCTTCCTAGAGTGAACAGTTAGATTTAAGTATGAAAATAACCTCAGTTCTCTTCCCTCACAAGGGGAAGAGGCAAAGCACCTACTAATTAGAACGTCTTTGTATCAAGTTAATAAAGTATTTGTAAAATGATCAGAAACCTTAAAAAAAAAAAAAAAAAGGAGAGGTCCCATTATAAAAAGGTCAGTATCAGGTGACACAACCTTTTCCTAAAATGTACCTTAATCACTGAAAAAACAGAGGCTGACAACCTGTGTATAATAAAGGATTCATGAAACTACTGTGAACTGACAATAGGCACAAGCACACTTTCTGCAGTCGCTTATCTAACTTCTTATCCCTCGCGCCTCGGCAGAATTAGGATTTTCAAGTTATAAGAAAGTAAAATGTATTCTATAAGTATCGTTGACAAGAGTTAATTTGCCTTCTGTTAAATTAAAAGTTAATCCTATGCAATCTTGTTTTCTTACATAAATCAGTCACTCGATCCTTGCAGGCTGATGCCAAGCAGAGGCATAAATCAGAGAAGCAAAACTCTACTAACAAGGGCAACATGAAAACCAATATTACACTCTAACATTCGTTGAGAGCATGTTTCAAACAGAATAAATCTTACTCCAGACTAAAATAATAAAAGACTGTGTCAGAATATAAGCAGTCTGGTTTCTGATCAATTTGCCTCACTTACTATACCTTACTATACAATTTATATTACTAGAATCGCAAAGATTTTGAGTGGGACTCTTTCATTTTGTGGCTACTTGAATTGAATCCCACAGATGATACACAATTTGGTGGCACAGCCAAATTCAAAACACAAATGTCAAGTCTCCATGTTTAGGGTAATTCCATCAAGATAGACCAAAGAACAAAACGACAGCATCCAGCTTTCATCACGATACCTGCTTCAGAATAGCTATGTGAAAACAATTATAAAGGAGTGATTAAGAAAAATAACAATAAACAGGACAAGAAGGTTATTCTCAAAGTCATTAGAGAAAAAACAAGAAAAAATCTAAATTTTCAAAAAAGAGAGATTTGTTAAATTAAGGTCATACTATTTTTATGGAGTATTATATAGCAGCTGAAAATTGATAATTACATTGATGAAAAATATTTATTGACATGGATAAATGTTTATAACACATGGTTGAATGAGCAAAGCAAGATGTACGACAGTACACACCATGACAACCCCTCTGCAGAACAGGATGAAGTTGCTGTTTATTTCCAAGTTCACCATCTCCCTTCTCACCTAATGAATGTGGAGGCAAAGGGGAGACGCTGGATACAACCCCAGTAAGCGCCCACCTGTAGATGTTACATTCTATCAGTTACTGGGCTAAAAAGACAAAGGGAGATACCAAAGGGGGAATTTAAAACAAAGCTCCAGTTACACGAATCTTCTCAAAGCTGACAAGCAAAGGCCAGGCTGACTGCGTCTGCTCCTCCAAACTTCAACCCCAAACTGACAGCAATGATCAAAAACTTACACCAATGACCTGCTTTAAAATTACAGACCATCAAAAATGAGACTATTTCCCATACGTTTGTGTGTGTGCACATGTATGAAAGAGAGACACACACACAAATGCACACATGTACGCCCACACACACACAAGGAAAGGAAGGGAAAGAAGGGAAGATTATGCAAACAGAAAGCTTACCTGAAACAGCCTGGTAAAAATATCAAATTCAAAAACTGAAATGTAGTCATTACAAGTTAAATCAATTGTTGATTTTAGAGCCATTGCTTCCAGGCCAGAGCTAATCTGATGGACCTCATGAAGACACTGTCTGAACACTTTCCACGGGACAATAGTTCTGTGCAAGAAAAAAAAATGAGGAATTGAATTAAGTGTCATTTAAGACATACCTTCCATTGAAACAGCACAATTCAATTATAACATTAACATAATTGCATTTGTGCTAAAAGACAAATAGTTAAGAATATTCTTCATAATTCAGAACACATATAATGGATTTTGCTAACAGAAATATTTTCCATTTGCTGAGAATGTGACAAAAATCTAAATCAATTTTTCTCTTAAACAGTCATTAGTTATCAAGATATTTTTAAAAGTACATCTAAAGAAGGTATTAGGTCAAAGTCCTGTGTGTCTGATCTCTGCATTTGTATATACAAGATTATTTAAAACTTTGAATCAAGCTAAATTTTCCCCTCTATTTTCATAAAATAATTACATTATGGGTTCTTTGAACAAAACACTCTTTGCTCATGGCACAAAAGGATAATTTGTATCCACTACTTTGAGGAAGTTCAGGTGGAAAGTCATCAAGACATTTGGGCCATAGCTGGACATTTTCTGCAGAGATGAAAGGCACATGTTATCCAACATATTAATGCAAAGGGAAATTTTAATGTGTTTTAACCAATCACACTGGCTATCATATGGAAATTTATTTATTCAACACTAATTCATTTTTACTAAATATCACATACCAAAATTTTTATCAGGAAATGCATTTACACAGTTAAAAACCTAGAAGAGCACAGAGTGGGATCCGGGCAAGTCTCCCAGCCTGTCCCCCACCTGACCCGACACTCGCCCAGCTCCGCCCAACCGTGAAAATAAGGAATGCTCATTATTGATTCCCTAGTTAATTTTCCTCCTTTTCGAATGTTAAATGTCTATTCCTGAATAGGTTAACGAAAGCCTTACTTCATATTTTTAACATTTTAAGCTGCAGTTTTCACGATAGGATAGCATAAGAGCTACATACACCCTCTTACAAGATTGCAAATATTTGTCTTAGGTTTTTCTTTACCAGCATCTCTTTAGAAATAAAAGACTCAGGCAGAATGGACTAAGTAGCCCCCATCCTATACCAATCCTCCTAGTGAAGCATCACCATAAATGTACAACTTTCGAATTCATTCAAGAATTCTCTCTTGCAGTGGTTGCCAAAGTTGAGCATGCATCAGAGCCATTGAAGGGTTTGCTAACACAGCAATTGCTGACCCTCAACCCAAGATATTCTGACTCAGTCTGACCGGGATGGGGCCTGAGAACTTACAGTGCTAACAAGTTCCCAAGTGATGCTGATGCTGCTGCTCGTCTGGGGACAACTCTGAGCCATTCATCTATTGTATCCATTAATGGCCAAGGCAAAGCACTGTGGAGCAACATAATTATGGCAATACAAGATATTCTCACTGACCTTGAAGAACATACTTTAGGGTAGAAATAAGATTTGCAATGCGGAAGAATACAGGGGGGAACATTTAAGGAAGGGCTGGAGGAATTCCAGAGAATGAGCGGTCTGTGGCAAGATGAATAAATTAATGGTGAGACAGCCTGTATTTACAAGAAAGTTTAGGTTTGATATACCATTAAAAGAAAAAAAATATGAGGCTGAATACATCAAAAGGTTTTTCTCTATGTATGAAAAAAACAGGAAACCACAGAGAACCGAAGAGAGACACCACATCAGACACCATTTAGAAGAAACACACGTCAGGCTCTGATTAAGGTTAACAAAATGCCGCTGTTTTAAAAGAACAAGGAAAACTTCTGATAATGTTAGAAGGCTATTGATTTATGGTGAAGTGTAAATATGCAATTATGTCCAGCTTCATTATGGTTAGTGTGGAATTAGTGCCTGAGAAGTACATTTTTCTTTTCCAAATTAAAGTTTCAAATATTCAAGATACAAAAAAGACATGAACCATAATACTCAAAGTAAAAAGAAAAAATTAAATAAAGAACTACTGATTTAAGAATGGCATATGTTTTATCTTTGGTATGGAAATGTTACGAGAAATTTGCCTCATGTTATAAAAAGTAAATTGGCCAAACAGATACCTTCAATGTCTGTTACTGTAAAAAAAAAAAAAAAAAAAAAATATGCATGCATACCATAACTCTTTCGAATGGTTTCTCAGGGTAAATTCTAAAAAAAAAAGTACAAACTTTTAAAGTTGTAGTCTAACATATCATTTTGAAACAACAATTTACAAAGAGGCAAGCGACATTTCCACAGTACTTGCGTAAATGAGCCTTCTTCACAGATCGCTTGTGATAAACCTAAGGTCTACACAAGCATTCACTGGAACCGTAATTAAGGGTAGAAACAAAGCTTAAGAAGAGAGGGCATTACCTGTTTAACTTTCCATACAGCACATTTGTACACAGATAGCCCTCCTTAGATCAGCTGAGCCAAAGACCCACCACTGGGAGAAGGTGGCAGGAGGGGGTCTCATAGTGAAGAACAGAATAGAGTACAATGACTTGTTTAAAAAAAAAAGAAAAAGATTGTTCTAAACTGTTGCACTAAGGATGTAAACTTCCCAGAGAGGATTTCAAACTGCTACCACCTTCTTTCCTGAGGTGTATAGGGGGAGGGGAAAGAGAGAGGATGACTTTTCACACCTTAAACTGCAGCAAGGTGACAGAGTGGTGGTTTCTACGACCTCTTCCCCTAGTGACGAAGCAAGTGAGAGAAAACATTCGTACCAATTGTTTTACAAATATGTAGAAATTTCAGTAGGCTGGCAGAGACCTGGGAAAAGGAAAGAGCAAGAAAAGAACAGAACAGAAAAGGGCCAGCTAAGCTTCACGCTCTCACCAATCTAGAAATACTTTAATCTGTACTTTTACCACTCACAATTATGAATCACTTTAATTACAAGTTGAATTAACTTTAAAATCCACTGAAAAGCACAAGTAACTGTCAACCCACAAAGAATGGAATACGAGACCAGTGAGTAGCCAGGTACTTGTAATAAGATGATTTTAGAATCTTTGGAGTTCCAATAGGAGTAAGAGCTGCCATTTACTGATGATTTACTATCTGCCAATCACCAAGTTAAGTACTTTATATCTATTGCCTGATTCTGTCATAGAAACACTATGAGGCAGATAATATACTGACCCTCATGATACAGATGAGGAAACTGAGGCTTAAAGAGGTTAAGTGACTTGCCCAAGAAAGACCTTTTATGTGCCAGGCATTGTGCTAGGTTCAAAACAGAAAAATAAATAAATCAAACCACAATGTAATAAGTGGAAAGACTTGTAAATAAATTATGTTGTACCATGTGCTAAGGTTATCAGAGAAAAAGACGCATATGCCACAGGGATCCCATGGGACGGAGCTGCTTGAGAACAGAAACTGTATCCTATTCACCTTTGCCCAAGACAAACAAGGTATGCAACTAAAATCTGTGTAATTAAATTAAACTGTGTCTAAAGAAGGCAAGGGAGTGTTTCATGGAGGAGGAGCCCAGATATTTGACTGTGCTACCACACTTGCTTACTACACAGCGGTCTTTTGATGATGGAAAAAAAGTGATAGTCTATTCATGTAATGTCAGGAGAGGTAAGAACTTGATAAATATAAGGCTATATTATAATTCTGTTATCAGATAATGGGTCCTGGTCTATCTACCAAAAAAACAAGACTAATTGTCTTTTTTAAAGTCTTGAAAATAGAGTGTCCTTTCAGAGAAAATAGGATCAAACAGATACAGGTAAACAAAACTGAAAAGGGGTCAGCAGGTCAGCAACTGACAAATCACTCCATCTTCCAGGCTTGTCCTCTCCTCTGTAGAAGTGGAGGATGGTATTATTCTAAATTTGAAAATCCTGCAGTTTTAAGACAAAAGTAAAAGGAGTGGAAGACAAACAATGTTAGGAGATTGTTACCAAAAAGAATGGCAAAATATTTTCATGAAACCACAAACTCATAAAAGGCTATAGGTTTTATTTTTAACTCATATAAAAAAAAATCCATAGGGACCAGCCTGGTGGCATAGTGGTTAAGTTCACGCGCTCTGCTTCAGCAGCCTGGGGTTTCCCATTTTGGATCCTGGGTGCAGACCTACACACCACTCATCAAGCCGTGCTGTGGCAGCATCCCATATACAAAGTAGAGGAAGACTGGCACAGACGTTAGCTCAGCGCCAATCTCCCTCAAGTAAAAAGAGGAAGATTGGCAATACATGTTAGCTCAGGGCCAATCTTCTCACCAAAAACAAAAAACTCCAGAAAATAAAGGAGTGAATCTCAACAAAGGCTAGTGTGTTTGGAAACAGAAACTTTCAAATACTTCTGAAGTGAATGAGAATTTACACAGCATTTCTAGAAGGCAATTTGGCAGTAACTTTCAAATGCTTATAAATTTTGACCCAGAATGCCTACTTTTAGGGATTTTGCCTAAGAGGAAAAATCAATACACAGCAGTAAAAAGACTCATCTGTAATTCTCTTCAATACAGTGCTGTTCATAACAGCAAAATATTAAAAGCAAATATATTCAATAGTAATAATAAACAAACTATATCCATAGATTAGAATATTTTACAGCAACTAACAATTGTGTGGGAAAATATTTATTGTCATGGAAAAGTGTCCATGGCACACTAAATGGGAATAGCATTTTTAAAATTGTGTGTCTTTTATGATCCAATGCTAAAAACTATCTAGAATGTCTGGAGAGATCAACACAAATTGTAATTGATAAGTGTGGTAGGATTGTATGTGATTATTTTACTTTTTTCTATATTTCTAATATGCCCTAATGGCTTCAAAGAGTAAAAGATACACTAAAACTGCTTTACAATACATTATATAATCATACAAAGAATTAAAAACCAAAATTAGAACACTATTTGCCTGTGGTTTTATATCTAGGAAATACAAAATAGTTTATAAACCATGAGAATTAATGAGAGAATTCAAAATGGTTGCTGAATATAAGACCAATATACAAAAATCAGTTGTATTTCTATATACAAGCAATATATAATTAGAAAACAACACTTGAAAATACTTGACCTTTACAATACCACCTGAAAACATC